GTGCTGGGTCTAGATTTGGCTACACTGTAGGTCATTAGGTGTGATTTAAACCTACTGCTAAGTAAGACTTTCTCAGAAATTTCACCTTTTGAGCTATTAAACTTGAACAGAGAGAGCAGGGAGCCTTTCTTCCCTGTAGTCTCAGTGCTCCCATTGCTGGTTTCAGGCAGCATGGAGAAGGAAGCTGCCTGAGGTGAAAGCAGAAGAGGTAGGAGCTGATTCTGTGGATTGGGACAAAACAGGGCATTTGGGACAGGTAGTTGGACTGGAGGGCAACTGCCTCTGGGAGCTAAGTAGACTTGTATTATCAACTGGGATTAGGATGCTGAACTGGTGGGCAAGGAGGCTGTGAATGGGAAGTTGGGAGGAACTAATGGGGATGGGGAAGCAGCTGGTGGTAGGGCAGAGATGAGAAGCCTGGAGGATAGATTAGAGCAATCCAGGCAAGGAGATGGGAATTTAGAACTTGTGTAGCAAGAGGCAGAAGGTGATGAAGGATTTAGAGTGTAATCAATCACAATGTCATTGAAGTTAATAAAATTAGCTTGATTGTATTCAAGCTAGTGACACTTGACAGCTTTCAGTCGGGTAGATACTTGTATAAGTGCATGGCCAAAGTCACCTCTTGGAAAAAGTTAACAGATTTTTAGTATCTTACTGTGACACAAGATTTTTAGCTCTGAGTGCATCTTGTAGCATCTTTCCACATCCTGTGCAATTTATAAATGTTCTTTATAAGGTCTGGGAGTGCCTCCTGAGACGGACCTTGATCTGGAACTGGGAACAATATTCCAGGTAGGAGGAGGTTGCTAACACATCTTTCTGTTGTAACATGGAACCAGGGGAAGGCTGAGCATCACCAACTCACGAGACTGTTCTCTTTTCTGGACTATACTACATTCCCATTCAACAGCCTCTCATCAGTTATTTGTTTCCAAATATTGCTTTTTAGAAAACTCTGAGCTGGGAAGTGACTTCATGCTTTTCAGACCTGGTTAGTTTGAAAGAGAGAAGGAAACCTAGACGAATCAACCTCAGTTTTTGAGCTCCTCAGATCATGCTCAGAAAGAGGAGTTATTTTAAAAGGCTTTCTGATTAAGAAAGGATCTTTCAGCTTCTTTCTGAGACACTTTTATCTTTGTTGCAGTGCATCAATTAGATTTCTTATCTATTTTCTTTTATAGACTTGAAGTGAAAATGACAAATTAACAAAAGAGCTTTCTGTTAGTCTCAATGCCAGCTCTGTGTGTAGATGAGTATACCATTTGCTATTATATTTTGTTAATTCAGCATTTCAGTAAGAAAGACCAGGTCTCATCCCAGGAATACTTACAATATAAAGTCTCAATTCCTCAAAGCCTCACTCATATGCTTTACTTCATACATGGGGTGAAATTCTATTACGTTTTGTGCACCTAAATGTCATGTTTTCCAGCCACATTAAGTGGGTTTTTTTTGGCACTTATGTACAATTTGGCTAGGTACAGACATTACACTTTTACTAATATAAATGATCAGAGTCCTGTCTGCAACCATAACAGAACAGAAGTTCGGCGCACACAACTGATCTATACCTGTATCAGAACAGAAGTCTGGCACATATTGTGGTCGGTGATCCCTCTTGGTCGAGTATGATCTTTCCCACAAGTCAAGTCTATGTCACACATAGACTGGTTTAAAAATGGCAGAACCTAGACTAAGATTTGCACCCCTCACCAAAAGGAGAATGTGTGTTCTGTTCACTACTGATCTAAACTACTCCATTTACAGAAAACCTTAGGTCAGTTCTGCCTCAGGCTTTTTGAATGTCTGTACCTAGCCTTTGTGATTTATTACACTGCATGAGTAATAGAATTGCAAGTTACACATAAGTGCCTGAAGACCACTTATGTGGCTGTGTGTAAGTGCCATTTAGGGGCACAAAGCTTAATAGAATTCTGCCCTAGGTGCACAGATGTTAAAACAAATGGGAGTACTTATTGCATAAAGTCAAGGATGCACTTTATTCTTCATGGGGTCAGGGCCTAAGATTAGAAAATATAAAAGCAAGAAGAGAAAGGAATGGGACAGATCCTGATTTCTGTAGGCTTTTAGAAAATAGTGAACTATGGATTAAGGTTTGCCTATGGTATAAATATAGACAGTAGAAGTCTACAGAGGTACTATGTGTATTTAGGTAACATTCCTATCTAAATGAAGGGAACGCTTTCAAAGTGCAAATCCCAGTGAACATAGGGCTACAGAAGTCTGCCCCATAGGCAATATGACTGAAGACACCCTGCCCACACCTTATTCACCTGACTCAATGTGCTGCCAACTTGGAAGACTGATGGTAAGATGACTTTGGCTTTGTTCCCAGCAGCTGTTCCCAGAGATCAGTGTTGAAAAGCTGGGGC